CGGGGCCTAAGACTAACAAACTGTATTGTAGCATAAGCTTTCGAGAAACACAGCTCTCTCCATCAGGTGCATCTTAAAGAAGCTACTGGGCTTTTTACGATTATGTCCCCTAGGGTTTGACCCAAACAACTCGTCCCCCTCTGAGTGGTCTCTGCCCACGAGAAGCCAAACTCCACCTTTTCAACCAATGGGGCCTACCTAGCAGTGCAAAAGCCGGTGGGCTTGTCAAGCGCTCGGCCGACCTTGAGATACACCAGCTGCTTTGACCGGCTTGGGAGATCACGCGTGATTCCGGCGAGCAATGACTTCCACGGCTAGGCATGCAGAGCACGGAAAGAGCAGGAGTGAAATCTCCCAGCTCAGGGAAACTGCCCCTGCGGCGGAATTTGCGCTCGAAGGCGGAACAAAAGGGGAGGATTGTGTGGCGCACAATGCTTCCCTTTGATGCCAAAGGTTCTGGGGAACTCAGCAATGTTCCGCGGACATCGGAGGGGTGTTGGGTGGAGAGCAGCTGGCTGCCGCCGAAGGGACCTCCCACACCGCGCATGGATGGATGAGGGGGCGGAGGAGGACAACAACAACGTCTCACAGAGCCGGCACAGTGAGCCATTCTCGAGAGCCGAGACCCCGCCGGTTCTTCCACTAGAACAATGAGGATTTGTACACCTCCACTCCATGCTGTGGGCCCCTGGTGTGGTCATGCCGTGTCAGTTTGCACGGCCTCCGTTTGGAGACTAGTACGGGACACCTAGGTTGACGCCTGGACTTGACATAGGATTGGCGTAGGGTTGCCAGCTCCAGGTTGGGAAATACCTGGAGATTTGGGGGGGCTGAGGCTGGGGAGGCTGGGATTTGGGGAAAGGAGGGATACCAGCAGGGTATAATGCCGCACAGCTCCCCTCCCAAAGCAGCCATTTTCTCCAGGGTAACTGATAACTGTCATCTGGAGAACAATTGTAATCCCAGGAGATCTCCAGCCACCACCAGGACTGGTGGCACAGAGGATTTATCCTCTGGTTACAGTAACATCTGAACTGAACAGAACTGCTGTCAGTTCTAGCCCCGTGCTGGTGTGAGCTACCAGCCTTGCCCCCAGCTCGCTGTCCACCCAGCGGTTAGAAAGCTTCGGCGAGTAGATAAAATGTGTACCACTCCTTAGAGAGGGTGGGCGCACTCCTTAGAGAGGGTAGCCGACGAAACGGAATGTCCAGCTCGGAAGCCTGGAAAGATCTCCTCGGCATCAAGAAGCCTGCGATGGGCCGATCCGGCCAGGTGGTGGCAGTGCGGCGCTGCGACTCGAAGCAGTCCTGGAAAAAGCTGACATCATCAAGCCAAGCCGAGTGAATGCCATCTGGAACACATCTAAGCCTACAGCTGAACAAAATCCCCACCGGCTGCAAACGTGTGCGACTTAAAAGATTTATATGTTGTCCTCCTTTACCCCTATGTATCATTGTTAGTCCCGTGTGAATATGTGTAACTGTAAATCGCTCAGAGCCAGCAGTTCTGCAGGTTTGAGCGATTAATAAATCGAAAGATTAAAAAAAGCAAAAAACTCTGGGTTGGGAAATTCCTGGATATTTGGGGGTATAGCCTGGGGAAGGCGGGGTTTGGGGAGAGGAGGGACCTCAGTGGGGTAGGATGCCACAGAGTCCGCCCTCCAAAGAAGCCATTTTCTTCAGGGGAACGGATTTATGACATCTAGAGATTAGTTGTAATTATGGGGTGATCTTCGGGGCCCACTTGGAGGTTGGCATCCCCTAAGTCTCAGACCTTTTACAGGCATCCCATTTCTCCTGGGTCTCCTGGAGAGCTCCATGTACAAAGGCAGTCTACCGCTGAATGCCAGAAGGTGGGGGCAAGCAACATAGCCTGCTTATGAGTTCGGAGACAACTGGTTGATTGCTGTTTCAAGTAGGAGTCTGTGCTGGGGGGGGGACCTCTCCCCCCCATGTATCTTTTTTCTGCCACTCCTTTTCTCTTTGAGAGCCAGTTTGGTGTAGTGGTTAAGTGCGCGGACTCTAATCTGGGAGAACCAGGTTTGATTCCCCACTCCTCCACTTGCACCTGCTGGATGACCTTGAGGAAGCCATAGTTCTATCAGAGCTGTTCCCTCAAGGACAGTTCTGAAAAGAACTCTCTCAGGCCCACCTACCTCACAGGGTGTCTGTTGTGGGGAGGGGAAGGGAAAGGAGTTTGTAAGCTGCTCTGAGTGAAGGGTGGGGTATAAATCCAATCTCCTCTTCCTCTTCTTTCTTTCTTTCTTTCTTTCTTTCTTTCTTTCTTTCTTTCTTTCTTTCTTTCTTTCTTTCTTTCTTTTCTTTTCTTTTCTTTTCTTTTCTTTTCTTTTCTTTTCTTTTGTCTTTCTTTCTTTTTATCCCTCCCTCCCTCTCAATAGTTACATACTTCTTTTCTCCCTAACATGTACCCAAAGTAGCTTATAACATCATTTGCTCCTCTTCCACTTTATCCCCACAACAACATCCCTGTGAGGTAGGGTAGGCTGAGAGTGACTGGCCCAAAGTCACCCAATAAGCTACATGACAGAGTGGGGATTTGAACTGGGGTCTCCTAGACCCCTGTCTCTCACTCTAACCACTACACCACATTGGGTCTCCAATAAGGCTTTTTTTGTGTGTGTTCTTAAGGGAATGTTTGTTTATGTTTTGTGAGGTTGTTTCAGCCCTGCCCCATTACTTAAAGGCCATTACAAAAGAGAGAATAGTAGAGTCGGCATTATATTAGAACAAGGAGGCGGTCATTTTTATTGATGAGAGGACAAGTTAATTTACATTTTAATTTGTGTTTTCCCTGGCTGTGCCAATTGCTTGGCTTTTATTGCCGCTTTATTGTCAGTTTGTGTCTTTCAAACAGTAATTGGTTATATTTCTATCGTGCCAGCACTGATTGGATCCACGCGGCTAACGCTCAGAGGCGCCTTCTCCTCAGATGCCGCAGTTCATTCACCGGGTCTATGTCTGATGGATAACTTATTTCGAAGCTGCCCTGAGCACCCACTTGGATAGATGTTTGAAAATGGATTTGGAAAATCCCAAACAGTAATAAAGCAAATATGCTTAAGTGAACTGACTAATCAGGTTATAAATGAGTGAACCTTTACTTAGCATACATAAGTGCATCAGAAGAGCCCGGCTGGATGAGACTGAGGATCTATCTAGGCTAGAATCCTGTTTCTCACAGTGGCCAAAGGGCTGTATACGGAGTGCCCCCCTGACATGGGGGTCTACCCCTAGACAGCCAGTTTGGGGTAGTGGTTAGGAGCATGGACTCTAATCTGGGAGAACCAGGTTTGATTCCCCACTCCTCCACATGCAGCTGCTGGTGTGACCTTGGGTCAGTCATAAGCTCTCTCTGAGCTGTTCCCTCAAGAGCAGTTCTCGAAAGAGCTCTCTCAGCCCCACCTACCTCACAGGGTGTCTGTTGTGGGGAGAGGAAAGGAACGAGATTGTAAGCCGCTCTGAGACTCAAGAGTGAAGGGCGAGGTATAAATCCAGTCTCCTCTTCTTCTTACTCCTCCGCGTGCAGGCAGCTGGGTGACCTTGGGTCAGCCACAAGTTCTTTCAGAGCTGTTCTCTCGAGGGCAGTCCTCAAAAGAGCTCTCTCAGCCCCACCTACCTCACAGGGTGTTCTGCTGTGGGGAGGGGAAGGGAAAGGAGTTTGTAAGCCACTCTGAGACACCTTTGGGTAGTGAAGGGCGGGGAATAAATCCAATCTCCTCCTCTTCTTCTTCTACCTCACATGGTGTTCTGCTGTGGGGAGGGGAAGGGGAAGGAGATTGTAAGCCGTTCTGAGACTCCTTCGGGTAGTGAAGGGAGGGGTATAAATCTTCTTCTTTTTCTTGTGTTGTTGACACACACACACACACACACCCAACTACTGGTATTCAGAGGTACGCTGCCTCTGAACATGGAGGCATAAGATCCAGAAACAGATTGGCATGCCAAGGTATCATCAATCGAAATGAATAAACCAAGCCACTGAGAGAGAGCTCTCCCCATCTGTGGTGATGGTAGGAAGAGCCACCAAAGCCACAGCCAACTTATAGCGACCTCTAGTGGGGTTTTCAAGGCAAGAGACATTCAGAGGTGGTTTGCGATGGCCTGCCTCTGCATAGTAACCCTGGGCTTCCGCGGTGCTATGAACCAGGGCCAACCCTGCTGAGCTGCCCAGATTTGACAAGGTAAGGCTAGCCTGGGACATCTGTAAACATATCCGATTTCAGACTCTGAGCTAGCAGACGGCAGGTGCGAGACAGTAATGTTCAGGAGGGCATTTGTTTTTAAAAAGGTAAGAACTGCAGTGGAATGGAACGGCCCAGGAGGACACCTGATAAAGGATCGGGATTGTGGTGTTCCCTTCCTCCAGCTGGCACTTGGAGAGCTCCTGCTGTTACAGTTGCTTTCCAGACGACCAAGATCAGTTGCCCTGGAGAAAAGGGCTGCTTTGGAGGGTGGGCTCTGCGGCATTCTACCCTGCTGAGGCCCCGCCCCTTCCCAAGCCCCGCCCTCCCGAGGCTCCGTCCCCCAAATCTCCAGGTATTTCCCAACCCAGAGCTGCCAAGCCTAATTGTGATCCACCGCAACTGCAGGAGGTTTCAGCTGCTTTAACTGCGTTGTCTTGACTTTGTAATCCACTTTCTGTCTAGTATAGCTGCCTCAGATGGTTGGTTGTTTGCATTGCTCTCTCATTCCGTCATCCTAGTCCGATCGCATCGTCCATTGGATGCCTTATGCTGTCTGATTGCACTGCTTTACATCCCGTAATCCGCCCTGAGTCTCAGCGAGAAACACAAACTATAAATAAATACTGAATAAAATAAATCTTGTGGCAGTAGCTTCCATAGGATAGTTCTGTACCACGAGATGGATGCAGCCATGGGCTTTTAGCTGTGGATGTTGACAGCTTTGGAATACCGAGTCCAGGAAGTGCTGAAATGAATAACTTTTTCCCCCCTGTCTCTCTCTCTCTCTCTTTTGCAGTGCTAACTCCGACCTTAGCCATTCACGTTTACACAGACCGGGAAGTCCATGGCAGGGTGGGCTCCAAAGTCACGCTTTCCTGCAGCTTTTGGTCAAGGGAATGGATCTCCGATGACATTTCTATCACTTGGCACTTTCAGCCGGAGTATAGCAGAGACAGCGTTTCAGTAAGAGGCTTTCCTCCTTTCCCCCTAGGGTTGCATATTGGGATATTTGGTTCATATAGCAGCGTTTTGCCCCGTCATAGAAGCGTGATATTGAGTGCAGTAAATAAATCTCCCAAGACGTATATTGCAAAAAAAAGTTAACTTTACATTTTTCAAGTAGATCCAGTTCACACAAGCTGCGGCCGAAATGAGAGAGAGGAGCCCAGTCTAAAGAGTACTTTAGAGTACTTAGGGCTCTTTAGCTTGGAGAAACGACGACTGAGGTGTGACATGATTGAGGTTTATAAGATTATGCATAGGAAAGAGCAGGTAGAGAAAGAGGTACTTTTCTCCCTTTCTCACAATACAAGAACTCGTGGGCACTCCATGAAATTGCTGAGCGGGCGGGTTAGAACGGATAAAAGGAAGTACTTCTTCACCCAAAGAGTGATTAACACTTGGAATTCACTGCCACAGGAGGTGGCGGCGGCTACAAGCATGGACGGCTTCAAAAGGGAATTAGATAAGCATATGGAGCAGAGGTCCATCAGTGGCTATTAGCCACAAGGTATAGATAGGGGCTCTGGGGCAAGTGATGCTCTGTCTTCTTGGTGCTTGGGGGGGGTCAACAGTGGGAGGGCTTCTAATGTCCTGGCCCCACCGCTGGACCTCCTGATGGCACCTGGTATTTCTGGCCACTGTGTGATACAGAGTGCTGGACTGGATGGGCCTTTGGCCTGATCCAACATTGGCGTCTCTTATGTTCTTAAGTCCTTCTTCACCGAATGGCCAACTTGTCCAGCAAATGGCCAACTTGTCCAGCATCATGTGTGCAGGAGTATGAGGGCATTGTCTCTACAGGAGAGACCTGCAGAGACGTGTGCCTCCATGGAAGGCCATGTGAAGTGAGGGAGAGGACAAAGGGAGAAAGGAAGGATGGGCAAGCACCTCCCAGGTTAAGCCAAAGAGAGGCATCCCATTCAAGGAGATAACACCTACGCACCCTTAGAGTGATGTAACGCCCCCCCCCCCAATGTCCAAGCATGCTGAGTTCCTCACTCCAGCATTGCACCCAGTGTCTCTGTGGAATTCACGATTTAGTGTACCACTCGGGAGTCTTTGCAATGTACTGCCTCCGGCACACCTTGCTTGCTAATGGGATTTTTGTGAGTAAATAATAACCATGTTGCACTTGAGCTGGTATGAGTATATCCTCAAACGCTGGTTCCCAAAGTGGGCAATACCGCCCCCTGGGGTCGCTGGAACGATCCAGGTGGGTGGTAGGAGCCTTGGGTGCAATTTGGGGGGCGTTGAATAAAAATAAGGGTGTGGGTGTGGAGGCATAAAGAAAGAAGAGTCCAGAACCTATCTAAAGCAGCCTTTTCCTGCCTTCTCCTGGTCTTCCCTGGGATCAGGGAGGGAGGTGGAGGTGGAGAGGGGTCCCCACAGCCAAGCACAGCCATGCATTTGCAGTTTTCAAATGCATGTGCACCCTTGTAAGACTGGTGTTGCTGCTGGGCTACCCTATTAAAGGTAGAGTTCCAGGGGGGCGCTGAGTAATTATTTTTTTTCTGAAAAGGGGGCGGAAGTAGGCCAAATAAGTTTGGGAACCTCTGTCCTAAAGGTACGTAGTATTTGCAGAGCACATGCATTGTCCATAGAGAGGTAATCAGCATGACTTGATTTGAATACCCTTGTGGAGAAACGGTTACAGTGTATGGCCTCCTGGAAAGCTGGGTTGAAATCCTCCCTTTGCTGGGAAGCTCAGTGGGTGATTTTGGACCCGCCACTCTCACACTTGCACAGGGATGCTAGGAGGGGCAAAAACAGGAATACCCCATCCGTGTTCATTACCATGAGCGCTGTGGAAGAAGGGTGGGCATAGGGTTACCAACCTCCAGGAATGGCATGGGTTTCTCTTGGAATTACAATTGTTCTCCAGACCTCAGAGATCACTTCCCCTAGAGGGGATGGCAGCTTTGGATGATGGACTCTATGGGGTACCATCAGGGGTCATTTCCTGCAGGGGCGCACAGGAGCGGAGCTCCGGCAGTAAAGAGCCCAGGGGGCGGGCACATGCAACAAGCCCTACCCCCTGCTCCCAGCAGCCCTCAGTCAGAGCAAGAAGCAGCCAGGTAAGTTGCAGAGCCCCCCCATCGGCCCCCCGGTCCAAAGCAGTCCAGTGCACCTTTAAGACCAAGTTTTATTCAGGTACAAGCTCTCCCTCCTCTGTGAGGACAGGTCTGCAAGTCCCCCCCTCAATAGTTAGCAATTCAAAACAGTCCAGTGGAGCCTGAGTGGTGGGTGTTGCCTTCTGACACACTTCCAGTGATGTCAGGGGTCAGGGGTGTGTGGCATATGCAAATAAGTTATGCTAATGAGTTATGCTAATGAGCTCCTGCACCTCTTTTTCTACGAAATTACCCCTGGGTACCATAGAGATCACATCTCCGTGAGCCTTCTCCCCTCCCCAAACTCCACCCAGATCTCTGGGGGGCCCAAAACTCCAGGAAGTTCCCAAGCTGCAGTTGGCCACTCTAGGCTGTGGTATAACTAGAATCATAGAGTTGGAAAGGACCTCCAGGATCATCTAGTCCAACCCCCCTGCACAAGGCAGGAGATCCTGCCCACACCCCCAGTGACTCCTGTTCCACATCCAGAAGATGGCAAAAAACCCTCCAGGATCCCCGGCCAAACTGGCCTGGAGCAAAATTGCTTCCTGACCCTATAGTGGTGATTGGCATTTCCCTGGCTGTGTAAGAAAGGGCCACGAGAACTAAGCACTGAGGCAACCCTTCCTGCCCTCCCTCTCATGATCTGCCTAAGTTCACAGAATCAGCATGGCTGTCAGGTGGCCATCTGGCCTCTGTCCAAAAACCTCTGTTTGAAAATGTAATGAATGAAGTGTCAGCAGCAGCTAGGAACAGTTTGAGTGATGGAGGAGTAGGGCTGCCAAGTGGGGGCGGGTGGCGGGTAAACCCCCGCTTTGGAGGCCCGATTTCCGTCGCCGCGGAATTGAGCCCCGGGGGAACCCCACCCCTGCGTGTGCGTCACCAGGAAGTGACGTGGGGACGCCGGGGACGCTGGGGGCGGGGCCACGGCCATACAAGGGAAAACTCTATGGTTTTCTCTTTTATGGCCGTGGCCCCGCCCCAAGCATGCCTGGCATCCTCCCGTCACTTCTGGGTGACGTGCACGCACGCACCAGACACCGGCCGGGAGCCCCCTACTCCCGGCGAAGATACACTTGGCAACCCTATGGAGGAGCATGTCATAGGGTCACCAGCTCCCTGTTGGCAAATGCCTGGAGATTTCGGGGTAGATCCTGGGGAGGGCGGAGATATAAAAGGGAGGGACCTCAGCAGGGTTTAATGCCATAGAGCCCACCTTCCAAAGCCAACATTTTCTCCAGGGGAACTGATCTCTGGAGATCAGTTTGTAATTCCAGGATATCTCTAGGCCCCACCTAGAGGGTTTGCAACTTTAGTGTCAAAATGGTGGCAGACGTTTATCTTATCTGTACTCCCCCCACCCCACCCCAAGAGCTCAGAGCTGCTTATCTGTGTTTCCCACAAGGTCTCTCTTCCTGGCTGCTTCCAGAAGCAGACCTTTAACAGTAGACCGGGAACATGGGCCTTAAGTCGTTATCTTGCAGGGCTAGTTTATTTAGATGTCTCTCCACCACAGGGGCCCAGGGTGGCTTACCATTTTAACCTCTCTATAGCAACCCTGTGAGGTAATCTAGGTTGAGAGAGAAGGACTGGCCACAGGTCACCCAGCTGGCTTCCGTGGCAGAGTGTGGATTCAAATTTGGATCTCCCGGATCCTAGAACAACACTCTAATCCAGGGGTGTCGAACTCATTTGTTATGAGGGCCGGATCTGACATAAATGAGACCTTGTTGGGCCGGGCCATGCGTGTCATAAAATATAACACCAGGTAGCGGAGATGTAAACTTTATAAAGGCCACAAGAGACACCCTGTGAGGCAGGTGAGGCTGAGAGAGCTCTGACTGAAACTGCTCTTTCTCAAGAACAGCTCTTATCAGAACTATGGCTTGCCCAAGGTCATCCAGCCAGGTGCAAGTGGAGGAGTGGGGAATCAAACCCGGCGCTCCCAGATTAGAGTCCGCGCACTTAACCACGACACTACTGAGTTGCTCACATCTGTTCCCTTGACCTTCTTTCTGTCTCACCCGTCCACAGATATTTCATTATGCCAAGGGTCAGCCGTACATAGACGACATTGGAACATTCAAGGATCGCATCTCGTGGATCGGGGACCCCGGCTGGAAAGACGGTTCCATAGTCATTCACAACCTGGACTACACAGACAACGGAACTTTCACCTGTGACGTCAAGAACCCACCCGACATTGTGGGGAAAACATCTCAGGTCACGCTCTACGTCTTTGAAAACGGTAATGCTATGCATAAGTGCGCCAGAAAGGGAACAGGTTTGAAACCATTGCCGCAGGATCCCTGGGGAAAGTGGCAGGATTCATAAGATCACGAACGTTCCCAATGATCATATTTCAGAGGTGGATAATCCAGTATTTAAGGGCAGGGAATCACAGGGCAAAACATGGACTACACCCAGCACCTTATTCTTCTGAAAATATTCTTCTGAGAATTCATAAAGCAGATAACAATGAAGTTGCAAGATACTAAGTCCAAGACAAGTGTCTAGATATTTCACCTTGTTTAGCTTATCTGTAAAGTTCAAACCTTGTAAATTCCACCATCTCCATGAATTCAAGTTCATGCTGCAAAGTCAACTACAGCTTCAGATTCGCATGAGCAAAATGGAAGGGCTCAGGGCAGATCTGATGAATAGAACCTATTTTCTCTTAATTTACGCAATCCAAGTCAGATCTTTGGTGTCTAGGCAACTTAAAAAGGTAAAGGTTCCCTTGCTCGAAAGCCAGTCGAATCCAACTCTAGGGTTGCGGTGCTCATCTCCGTTTCAAAGCCGAAGAGCCAGCGCTGTCCGAAGACGTTTCCGTGGTCATGTGGCCGGCATGACTAAACTCCAAGGCGCACGGAACGCTGTTACCTTCCCACCGAAGTGGTCCCTATTTATCTACTTGCAATTTCTTGCTTTCGAACTGCTAGGTTGGCAGGAGCTGGAACTAGAGACAGGAGCTCACCCTGTCTTGCGGCACCCGGGTCTTGAACCGCTGAACTACTGACCTTCCACAGCCTGCAGTTCAGCGTCTTAACCACTTGAGCCACCGCAGCTCCCTAGGCAACTTAGCAGGGACAAAAGAAGGGGGGGGGGACCTGAACCTAAAACCTAGAATCCAGAACCTAAAAAAGGTTAAAAAGTAAAGGTAAAGGTTCCCTTGCTCGAAAGCCAATCGAATCCGACTCTAGGGTCGCGGTGCTCATCTCCGTTTCAAAGCCAAAGAGCCAGCGCTGTCCAAAGACGTTTCCGTGGTCATGTGGCTGGCATGACTAAGCACCAAGGTGCACGGAACGCTGTTACCTTCCCACTGAAGTGGTACCTATTTATCTACTTGCAATTTCTTGCTTTCGAACTGCTAGGTTGGCAGGAGCTGGAACTAGAGACGGGAGCTCACTCCATCATGCGGCAACTCGGGTCTCAAACTGCTGAGCTAAAGAAGGCCAACAATAAAAGCTTAATATATGAAATATATAAAAAGATACATGTATTTATTAAACAAAGATTTTAAAATTATATATAACGGCCCAATTACACCTCATGTACAAATAACAAATTATAACACACAAGGGCTGATAGATCTGACCTGATGCGTTTCAGCCTGCATAGGCCTTCTTCAGAGGTCAAGTATAATGAGGAACATATTGGCTAAAATACAATACAATCATGCAGATACAAGATATAAAATCAATAGGGACCAGAAAAAAGTTGTTCCAAACTGAGACTACTAGGCACAGAATAAAAGTGCAAATGAGGCCTCCAACAGTGTAATCATGTGCCAAGTGGTATTTTTCTAGTATAAATTTCTGGTCCAGAAATTGCCTTCCTATGATTGTTTTGCCCAATGTCCACAATAGAATTGTCCTTAAGCAAAGATTCCTGGTGTTCATTCCATTTAATCCACTGGTTCCCAAAGCGGGCAATACCGCCCTCGGGGGCACTGGAACGATCCAGGTGGGCTGGAACGAAAGAAGAAGAATAAATTGCCACCACTCATGCTTGCCCTGTCTGAGGCTTAGGCAGCAACCTTGCAGTGGCAGCTCCTTTTGCCCACCACGTCTAGGGCTGAGGCAGCTAGTTTCTGGCAGCAAAGGTGGCTCCTACCTACAAGTCGCCGGGCAACGGCCACCCCTTGCACGGTCCTGTTGGAGGGGCCAGGGAGGCAGTGATGCTTTGTCCAGGGGCCCCAGAATCACCAAGACCATCACTGGTCTTTAGACACAGTTCTCAGCCAAAGACAAAGCAATGCTATTTCAACTCAGAGTTGAGTCAAAATATTTCTTAGAGGTAATGGTTACACAGCTTACTGAGCTCTTTTGTTCTTGCAAGGTTCACTTAAATTCACAGAAACAGCACAAAACATCACCAGTATACTTTGGCAGCTCCCATTAATTTCTATGGGATTTGTGTGTTTCTGCTGCATTGGGATATGTGTCCTTTTAGACAGATCTCCCTTATAAATAACATCCGAGTGGTATGTGTCCTTTCAGACACAGATCTCCCTTATAAATAAAAGCCGAGTGGTGGTGGCACTTCTCTAGAACATTCCACACGCTCCAAAATCAGTTCGCTCTCTGATCTGTCATTCAGAGGGTCTCCCTATCCACTGGCTGCTTTGGCTGAGTCCTGCCTCCAACATTCTAAACATTTTGTTGTTCCTCTCCCCCCCATAGCCAGTCAGAATACAGAGGTTATTTGCATATGCAGCCTCATTGGCCTCTGCCTTGGAACACAGAGGTCGTTTGCATATGCGACTTGATTGGCTTTTGCCTCTAACATTGTAAACAGTTTTGCTGTTCTGAGGTAAAATGTGTCCAATCTCCAGGTGAGGGCTGGAGATCACTCAGAATTACAACTGCTTTCCAGATGGCAGAGATCAGTTCCCCTGGAGAAAATGGTGGGCTCTGTATCCTTATATGCTGCTGAGGTGGCCCCCGTATGACAGCCAATGTGACGTAGCAGTCAGGGCTTCAGAGCACGGGAGAGGCTGCAGGTGTATGGGGGGGGTGGAAAGCTGAAGAGTGAGGGGGAAATAAAGGTAGGTTGATGATTGGCTGGGAAGGAGATAGGGTTGCCAACTCCAGGTGGGAAATTCCTGGAGATGTGTGGGATAGAGCCTGGAGAGGGTGAGGTTTCAGGAGGCGTGGGACCTCGGACAGGTACAAAGCCATAGACTCCACCCTCCAAACCAACTATTTCCTTCTGGGGAACCATCGTTGCCAATCTCCAGGTGAGGGCTAGAGATCACTCAAAATTACAACTGTTCTTTAGGGTAACAGAGACCAATTCCTCTGGAGAAAATGGTGGACTCAGTGTCATTATACCCTGCTGAGGTCGCCACAGCAAATTGACACTGAGTGTCCAAGGCCAGGGCATTCGCCCAGAGCCTCTTTCTAGAGGCTGTTGTATTTATTTCCACAACGGGCCTTTTTCCTAGTTCAGAAATAAATATCGATCTTTCAGAAGGACAAAAAAAAAAAGACTTGGAATGTGGGAAGAAATGGGGACAAACACTGTCAAACGTTCTTCAGGTTGCTTTTCCTCCGACTTCAGATTTCCTTCCATGAAAGGTCCTAAAACAGTTATTGATTAACTCATGATTTCTTGCCCAAAGACACCTCCACTGATAGACCTCCTCAAGATGCCACTGTGACCCCAGACCTTCTGTTATTTTAGAGAATTCCCAGTGAACCCCTTTTGACACAAACCCTGACCCATGTCAGTACCCCTGACTCGTCCTTTGGATCCCGCCTTGTTTTTATCTTTGGACTGCGAATATGTCATCGCACAAGTCCTCTGCCTAATTCTTAGCTCCAGCCAGGAAACATTCCGTGGTATGAAAAGGTCATTCCTTTGCCAGTGACTTTGCACGCCAGTGATCTCTGCCTCCAAAACAGTCTAGAGAAGGCAGAATATGAGAGTGTTTCTCATGGAAATACAGGATGGTTATGAGCAGGCGACATGTGCATTGAACACATGTAGCTCAGTTATACTGTATATATACTATCCAGGTCAGTGATGTCTACTCTGACTGGCAGCTTCTCTCGGAGGTCTCAGCTACTACAGGTCTTTCACATCATCCCTTTAACTGGAGAAGCTGAGGACTGAACCCGGGACTTTCTGCGTGCAAAATACATGAACACACATTATACTGCCTCTACTGAGTCAGACCTTTTTTCTCCATCCAGGTCAGCACCGTCAACTCGGACTGGCAGCAGCTCTCCAGGGCTGCAGGCAGAGATTTTTGTACATCCCCTCCTACACGATCCTTTTAAGCGGAGATGCCAGGGACTGAACCTGGGATATTCTGCATGCGGAGCAGATGCTCTGCCCCTGAATTATGGCCCATCCCCTGCAAGGGAAATAATTTTAGATGATGGTCTTGGCCACGCTCCACTGGGGCTGTTACAGGACTGATTGACGATGTGCAATTAAGGCCAACCGCATGCGTGAAGCGCTCTAACGATTCCGATCTGCCCAGCGAAAGCAGCAGGTTCAGTTTTGCAGATAAGCATCTGGTCCGATGCCAGAATTCAGGAAGGAGAAAACTGCCAGGAGACTTGAAAGGGAAAGGTTTTGTGCTGCCCCTGTTTATCAGCGATGGATGGAGGGAATCTAGAAGTTAGTTGAGCTTGAGGGAGAGCCGGAGAAAAGGGAAGTCTTGGTGACACAATCCCTAGGGGGGGGTGCACTTCTGAACAGAGTCCTCCTTTTCCTTCAGTGCCTGTCAGGTATGGCGTGGTTTTGGGAGCCGTCATCGGAGGTGTGCTGGCCGTGGTTCTCGTCGTCTTGGTGATCGCCTGCCTCATCAGGTATTGCTGGCTGAGAAGACAGGCCACTCTGCAACGGAGACTCAGGTAAAGCACGGGGTTTGGTGGGAGGGCAAGAAGGTGAGAGAGTCACTGTGCTGTGTGAGACGGAAAGAATCGGTGTGTGTGTGGTATGGTGGTCAATGTCAGAGGAGGATCTCCGTAACCATGCTCAAAGACCCCCTCTGCCACTGTGTGGCCTTGGGCTAGTCATTCTCTCTCAGTGTAACTCAGCCTTTTTGAGCCTGTGGGCACCTTCAGAATGCTGGCATTAGCGTTGTGGGCGCAGCCACAAAATGGCTGCCAGGGGAGGTGGAGCTGGCCACGAAATGGCTGATGCAGGAGGTGGAGCCAGACACAAAATGGCTGCCGCGGCTGACCTTCAGCCACACAGTGAAAATGTTTCTGCTGTGGTGGCAACGGCTGCCAAAGCAACATTTTAAAAAATCCACACAGCCAATGAAATCTCCAGCGGCCGATAGGAAGCCTCGCTGGGCAAAAACTGTACCTGGCAGTGCGCACACTATCTAGAAACACTTGGTGGGTGCCAGGAAAGGTATTGGCAGGCTGCATGGCACCCCCATGGGCATCAGCCTGGAGACCTCTGGTGTAACCTATCTCACTGGGTTGGAGGTCATTCCTGGCAACCGGGAGGGGGGATACGGGCAGCAAGGGGAGGCCAAGGCTAGCTCCCCACACAGTGACCAGTCTAGGCCTACCCCTGCTTTCCATAATCCCCCCTGCTGACCAGCTGATTGGATGTGTGGGCCAGCAGCCCTAGAAGGAGGGGAGAATGAAGTGTGGGGACCTTGGAGAAAGAGTGGGATAAAAATATACTTACTACAGGGGTCTGCATCCTGTTGGACTCTCCGAGCACCGTTGAAATTCTGACACAGGGTGATGGTTGAAACTACAAAATGGCTGCCGCAGGAGGCGGAGCCAGTGACAAAATGTCCACCACAGGAGGCGGAACGAGCCACAAAATGTCAGGGAGTGAGGTCATGCGTAACTTTTCAATGTTTCGGGCAGAAGCTTGACTTAACAGGATGCTTTTTGAAATGGACATATTGTTTAAAGATACTTCCTTGCGTACACACGTCTTACCATCCATTACTGTGCTGTTGTGGCAGCTGCTACTGAGCAGCTTTCTAAAAATCTGCCAATCAGATCTTCAGTGGCCAATCAGATGCCTTGCTGGGTCAAAGAGCTACCTGGCTCATCCACTTTCTAGGAAAGTGCGGTAGACATGCTGTTGGCGGGCACCATGTTGGAGACCCCTGACTTAACAAATAAATAACCCCTGCGCCGCTTTCTAAAAGCATCAGTGATGCTTCATTTAGACATTCTTAAACTCCTCCGTGCTCTGCAGTTCCCAGAGGTCTTTGCACAGGAACGCGTGACATTCACCTCCAGATGTCAGGACTCGCTCAGAAACCTGCCCTTTAATAAGCTATTTCCATTCAAGCGCTCAAGAGTGGATCTGGGGAGTGACCTGCTTTTGTCTTCATTTCATTTTAGTGCTATGGAGAAAGGCAGGCTGAGGCTGGGCAAGGATTCATCCAAACGGGGTCGCCAGGTAAGTGAGAGGCAAACCAGGAACCGCGTCAGAAAGTCTGGGCAAGGCGCCCTGAGCTGGATAGCCCAGGCAAGCCGGATCTCATCAGATCTTGGAAGCTAAGCAGGGTTAACTCTGGCAAGTACATGGATGGGAGACCTCTTTGAAATACCAGTGGCGGGAGGCGGGGGCAGGCTTTATTCAGCCACCTCTCTGAATATCCTCCAGGCCCCCCAGTAGGGCTCAGTCACCAGCCGTCGCCATGACTTCCAGGTGCACATGCGCATGCACACACACATATGCACGCCCCAAAAAAATCTGGGTGAGGTAGGGTTGCCAGGTCTGGATCGGAAAATACCTGGAGACTTTGGGGGTGGATCCAGGAGAGGGCGGGGTTTGGGGAGGGGAGGGGCCTCAGCACGGTACAAGGCCATAGAGTCCACCCTTCAAAGCAGCCATTTTCTCCAGGCAAACTGATCTCTGTCAGCGGGAGATCACCTGTAAAAGCAAGGAGCTCTCCAGGCAAGACATCCAGGTCCTAAACGTTAGGAGATAAGGACAGGAACAAGACGGTCATCACATCAGGGCTGGCTCAACAAAAGATAGGGGAACTTGGAAGCTTCTGGCTGGGGAGACCGAGGATGGTACTGTGGAGTGGTTAGAGCGTCAGACAAGGGTCTTAATAACCTTGGAGACCAAGAACCCATTATAAAGAGAAAAGTGGAGTTGTTGTCCCTGTATCACCCCCCCCCCCCCCATGCAGCCCTCTGGCCTGCCCTGTGGAGTGTTTTGTAGGAGAATGAAGACAATCCCACTGCTGCATACGGTTGCCAACATCCAGGTGGGGCCTGGAGTTCCCCCAGAATTATAACTGATCTCCAAACTACAGAGAATAGTTCCCCTGGAGGAAAAGGCAGCTTCGGGGGGGATGGGACAGGACTGTATGGTATCATATCCCTGCTGAAACCCTTCCCCTCTCCAAACTCTACCCTCCTCTACCTCCAGCTTGGAGTTGGCAACCCTACAAGCACTGCCCGGTAAGCCCGGCTTCTGACTAGGTGTGCCAGTCTCCAGGTGATAATACAAAAGATCAAACCGTGCATAAATATCAAAAGATAAATGTTCAACGTTCAATGAGTATAATAATCTAAAAAGGTAAAGGTAAAGGTTCCCTTGCTCGAAAGCCGACTCTAGGGTTGCGGTGCTCATCTCCGTTTCAAAGCCGAAGAGCCAGCACTGTCTGAAGACGTTTCCGTGGTCATGTGGCCGGCATGACTAAACACCAAGGCGCACGAAACGCTGTTACCTTCCCACCGAAGTGGTACCTATTTATCTTCTTGCAATGTCTTGCTTTCGAACTGCTAGGTTGGCAGGAGCTGGAACTAGAGATGGGAGCTCACTCCGTCATGCGGCACACTCGGGTCTCGAACTGCTGAACTACTGACCTTCCACAGCCTGCAGTTCAGCATCTTAACCACTTGAGCCACCGCAGCTCTAAAACTATATATATATATATATATAGTAGCTTTTCAAAAACACAATATAATAGAAACTCAAAAATACATGGTCCAGATATGAAAACAGTCCTATTAATCCACCTTCAGAAATAGTCCAAGTCAAATTCCTCAAACAGTGAAAAGTCCAAATATTGATGTTTATAATTCCTCTTCAAAAAGAGGATACACAAGTGGTGAGATGAGTTGTTTTTTTTAAAAGAGTAATTATAAACATCTATATTTGGACTTTTCACTGTTTGAGGTATTTGACTTGGACTATTTCTGAAGGTGGATTAATAGGACTGTTTTTGTATTTGGACCATGTGTTTTTGAGTTTCTGACTACTATATTGTCTTTTTGAAAAACTACTTTATATAGGTTTAGGGTGCGTTCAGACGGGCAGCTAATCCCGCCATTATGCCGGCTTAAATTTGATCCTTATCTTTTTAATTCCGTCCTCGCACGACCAGACATCCCCCGGGGGAATCGCCTTACCGCGCGCTGCTTCCGCTGTGGATTGTCTAGATGGCGTCCACTGAAGGAGGCACGCGCAGTGGGGTTTTTTTAAAAAAAACATTTTGCACATGCGCATAGGCATGATTGCACGTCCTTGTAGATCCGCACGTGCACGGAATCAAATGTTCAAAGCACCGCGTGAGGGACGCGTAGCCGTAATTCCGACCAACAGGACAGCCCAAGCACAACCAAATTCTTCTTTCATTTTCTGTTCTGACCCACGCTTGCAGGGCTGGACTAAACGAGTCCTGGCCATCCCCCTTGCCATTGAGATCAGGTTCACTGGAGGAACTATTTTGCATGTTGAAAGACCCATCCCCCCTCCAGCTCCCATCCCATTAACCGATCGTCCTTAAACTCACGGGTCATTCAAAACATTGAAGTGTTCGTGGCGCTGGATCGGGGTTCCGCAGCCTCGTTTTTAAATGCGTTTAAGCGCACGTTGAGTAGTGTGTTTTTTTAAATCGTGCCCACTCGGGATGGTCTGACATCAGACCACCCCTACGGGAGGATTGCGTGCTGGTGGACCGATCAGACAGGTGAAAGTCCGCAGTTGTCCCATCGGGACCCTCAAAAACTCCAGCTTTAAAGTGGTATCTTTTAAGTACGGCTCCGAAGTGCGGCAAAACGGGGTGCCCACGGAACAGGGACGTTTCCCAGAAATTTGTGTCTGGACATTACCTTTAAATCCGCCGGGCACACGTGCCTGGCACGGATCTAAGGAGCCGTCTGAACGGACCCTTAGATTAGTATATTCATTGAATGTTGAATATATATACTTCCATTATTTATGCACGTTATGATCCTTTGTATCTTGTGTATTACTTACTCTCTTCCGTGCTTCTCTGCTGTTTGGAACCTCCAGGCGATGGCTGGAGGTCTCCTGCCATTACAACGCCTCCAGGCGACAGAGAGCAGTTCCTTTGGAGAAAATAGCCACTCTGGAAGCTGCGCTCTGTGGCATTATACCCCACTTTCCCGAAACCCTGCCCTCCTCAGGCTTCATGCCCCAAATCTGCCAACCTGGAGCTGACAACCCTACTTCTCAACAAGAAGATGAGAGCCGAACAGCATCATGGCCACTGCCAAATATGCTTGAATTAGGCTGGACCATCACTGATAAGAAACCAGCCTGTCGCCTCCCCATATTAGGAGCCTCTTTCCTTACAAGTCAGGGGAACAGTCCCCAAGCTCTGCATTACACATATGAAGTTTGCTGACCTACAGGTGGAGCCTGTAGATGTCCTGCTTTTACGATTGTTCTCCAGACTACAGAGATCAGTTCCCCTGGAGAAAATGGCTGCTTTGGACGGCGAACTGTATGGTATAGGGTTGCCAAATCGGGATCGTCTGAGAGCGGGGGGCTCCCGGACGATCCCGGGTGTGTGCGCGCGCGCACGTCACCTGGAAGTGACGTCGCACGCTGGGGGCGGGGCCACGCGATTTGAGGGGAAAACAGAGTTTTCCCCTCAAATGGCTGCCATTTGAGGGGAAAACTCTTTGTTTTCCCCTCAAATCGCG